AACGACTCCGGAAAGTAATCTGCCTAATTACCCAGCAAGAGATTCATTCTCCCGGTACACAGGGAGAGGTTAAGGGTTCGAGAGGTGAGGTTTCTGTCGTTAAACGACCGAAGACTGTTCTTCTCCGTCTTTCTCGGAGCGATTTTCTCGCAACGCACCGGCATCCGAAAATGCGTCCTAACGCTTCAGAGGGCCGAAACGACCGGATTTCTCCTCCCTCCAAAGCGTCGCTCAGCCAAACTTATTTAACGCCCGCGGCTTCCTCCGCTTTGAAGTGGAAACCCTTTTCGGCGACGCGCGAATCTCGCAAAAGACTTGGAGATCTCGGTTTGTTCGTAATTCCTGGAATTTGAAATAACACGAAATCTCGGGTACCGATTTCCACAAGCAGGGGTTAGGATTTACGGATATTGAAGGCAATAAAAGTATTTTTTGATTCGAGGAACAAATTGCAAAATTATTTAAATGAAAGTTATCAAGATTCCACGCGAATATAAATGGAATTCCAATAATTCGAAATTTCTAATAGTAGCCATATTGGATGCATTATGATGACAGAATTATCGATAAAAGTTATGATGATTATTATTTAGAAATTCACTAATCTATGATTACCGCAAATGTAATTTATTAACAGAATTAAATGGCTTCTCATTTGAACTTTGATGTTATTTCTTTACATGTAAATCTCTGTAAATGCGTTTCAATTTTCTCAATTTATGAGTTCAATTATACACGACAATTCTAAGCATATGGAAGATGCAGCAGCGCCATCAGTGGCATAATAAAATTCATTCCAAGATATGTCATGTATATACAGGTCAACTTGTGCATTCAATGGTCGAAAACGCACTGTACTTTTTTCCTGCTTGGCAAGTCTATCTGCGAGACGAGGAGAAAATATTCATAATGCTGGATTAAGCGTGAGAGTGGTCTGGGAAGGGTGGACGAGCAAACTAATCAAGAGTCCGCCCCATTTAATTCCCACCCTCGCCATCTTCTCTTAACCATACGCCGCTACTGCTTTGTGGTCAAGAGTACCTTGGTATCTCATAGATGAGGTATAGCATAAGACCTATCATATCTTTTTTAAACATTTTTGAAAACTAAATTTTTATATGAATAATAATAATATCAAATTATTGTACAGCATTATAGCATTATAATTATTTTTATGTCTCTTATGATTATAAAAGTATATAAATATAAATTATAAATATTAAAAACATTATTAGTTTTTAACATCATCATTTCAGAAATTCTCTATGCTTTGTTTCTTCATGCACGTCTACTACCCATTATCAATACCATCTCCACTATTACTTATGCCAGTTCAATTTGATTGTGTGTATGTATGAATTTTTTTCGTTAGCACATAGAACTTCCTTTTCTACTGCAATCATCGTGTTTGAATCGTGTATTGGATAGGATATAGCCAAGAGTGATGATGATTGTAGGGAGAGGGTTCGCAGTTAGGATAGTGGGTAGCTTGGTAAAGGAGATTATTAGGAAGTTGAGAATTATCGTGCAAGAGAATTATTTTTATAGACAGGATAACATAGAACTGTAATACCATGTAATGAATGGTTTTATATCTGCTTGCCATAAAGTTCATTCATACCATGAAATTAAATATTGAAAAGATTTGAACTATACAGAGTAAATGAAATTAAAATAAAACTAACTAAAATAAAAAAAGTGAAATAGAATAGGATAAGCAGAAATAACTGAATTATAGGTATATTAATATGAACTGAATTATGGGAAGATGGAATTAAATAAAGTCAATAAAATTAAAATTATAATTATAATCAAAAAGTAATATTTATCTTGGTTGGAAGAAAAATCTATCTTATGAATAAAAATCAACTGATTGAGTCAATTTTAATTTGTTTTACAAAGGATTACATTTATATCATAAATTAAACAAGATCATCAATATTAATTATTATGCATCTGTATGAATGTAAAACGAATCTTGATAAAGAGCTAAATATTGGAATTTCGAATTCTCTCTGGGACGGGCATTTAGCATGCTTATCGGATATTGATTGGATCAGCAATCGATGGTTAACGTGGCATTAAAACAACGAGTCTGCGGGGACGATACACGCGAAGTAATTCAAGTTAAAGCCCAAACAGACGCATTATTCAAGTTGCACACATTCAAGTATATTTTACAATGGTAATATGAACTTTTATGACGATAAATTATACAAAAAATATTTTATCAATCAATGGTTTATGTTAAAAATTAGAGAATTGACAGGAAGGTTTACATATTTAATAATCATTTTCATTGTTGAAAGTAGTTCCATTTATCACTCATGAAAACATTTACTTAACTTTAGATTTTTCTTTTTTTTCTACGTTTGACAAAAAAAAGAAAAATTCGAGCTCTAGCCGAGCCATAATTAATTAATGAAATAAATTATTCCATAAATGTTCGATTTGTATTCTGATTTTCGAATCAACCAATTTCTAATATATATATATATAATATTCAATAAAACGTTTAGTCGAGTAATTGCCACGAAATAATACAAAATAATACAAAATAGATCAAAACAAAGTAATTAGAATAGATCATGGCAATTTCTAATATATAATACTCAATAAAACAAATAGTCAAGTAATTGGCATGAAATGATGCGAAATGTATCAAAACAAACTAGCTAGAATAGGTCATGGCAGGTTAGAAGAAAACTTTTTTTTTCTATCCAATTAATTACCCAATTAGTTATTCAAGAAACATCACAATGCATTCTTCATAATGAACAGAACAGATAAATCGTCTACTTCAACCGGTATGAGGGAAACGTCAGAGGGCAGCATAGCGATCGTAGTACCAGCAGCGCAATATGCAGTAAAGCACGAATGCAACAATGCGATCTCCCCCCTAGCGGTGGACAAGTGAACGAAGGGGAATGGGGGTATTCCGGATATATATGGGGTGTCTCGTTAATCAAGAGAACCTCGCTATCGCCCGTGGCCTACCAAGGGTGGAAAATAGGAGAGGAGGGTGACCAGTGTTTAACGGTTGACAAACGATCGTGTACGTACGCGGTCACGTAAACAACGTGTCGAGCGCGAAACACGCGCGCGCAAAAACCCGTAAATCTGCCTATTAAACGCGATTAACGATTTCGGGAAGTCACAACCGTCATCCCAGTGAACACGTGATCAGACGTGTCGGTGAGAATTCTGTAGTTTAGTAGTACAACAACTACAAGAAATGATAAAAGAAAGAGGAAGTATGAAAAAAAGAAAAAAGAAATTAAAAATATAATTGACACATATGTGTTATGTGATTAGTGGATAATAAAAATGAAGAAAGAATAAATAAGAAAAAAAATGAATGACAATTTATCAATCTGAGAAAATAGAAAATATAATAAAAAACATCTTTTTTTAGACACCTACGTATGACATAAATTTTTTTCCAATTCTGAATTCATCTCTTGAAGTCAACACATATGATGCGTTAAAAAACAAAAACCAGTCGCATAACAGTAGGAATGAATTTCTACCCCTTAGAGTACATCCAAAGTAATGGCGGTTAAAATATTTAATATACCGTCTAATCAAGGGGAGGAAATGGTGGGAGGAGGGTTCTGAAGTCACGGCTACTACGTGACCGACCGCCAACGAGCCCATGATTCCAGCAAAATCGTCCTCTCCGATTATCAGTCGTGTAACGAGGCGAAAAAAAGAACGAGAAATCGGGTTTTGCCGCATTCCACGCGCGTTCAAGCTTGGTCAGTACGCGGGGGTAGCGCGATTTTTCTTAGGGGTTGTGTTTTCATCGCATTTCTACCGTGCCTCGTATTGCGCTAACGAACATCTATGAAAAACTGTATATCTCTCCGTCAAACCATATTGTTTCTTTTCTTCTCTCTCTGATCTAATGATTCTTCCGTGAATCTGCTTGACTTCTTTATCATTAACTTTATCTTCATTGATTTCCGTTGAAACGCGCGTGCCACTCGTTTTTACTATTTAGTCTTATCTATTAGCTAATTAATAAGAGAAATATCATGATACGAAAGCAAAATTATAAATTAAATTACTTTTTCGTAATTGAAAATATGTAAACGGGAAAATAGAATGGATTTGTTAGTATAAGAATTAAATTCGTTTGTAATTTATACGAAACCTAACCTAAAACTTTATAAACAAGTTTATCTTTTTAAACTATGTATACAAAGATATTTAAAAGAATTAATTTCATCGATTTGACCAATAAGATTTCACGAAAGCAAGAGCGAAGGGAAAGTATCGAACATTCGATATATCGCTTGCTTGTATCGATAGATCACACATCGATTTTAAACATCGACCGAGTTCTCTGTGAACTCTCTTCACATTTTTTCATCGACGCAAGCGCAGAAAGTTAGTTGAAATCGAGAAAGTTCACAATGTATATCGATGATGAAAGATCGTGAAATATTTTGATAATTTGTATACAGAAATAGAAGATTGTTTCACAATTATATTTCATATAATAGTGGCTAAATAACTTGATTTTATGAGTCAATTTATTATTATAAGTTATTACGGTTTTTATAGTATCGGATGTATAAAAATTTTATTGATCATTTTAGATATATCTATACTATAGAGTTTTATTTATTTATTGTTCATTATCCTGATAAAAAAAGATATTTATTTTTATATTGTGTTAATCTTGTTATTATATTTAATATAATATGATATAAATAACATTAAATATGATCTGTTGAAAAGTAGATTAAAAGTTAAATAAAAGTTAGGTTATAAACTTTACCGTCTGAATAAATAAATATAATTGCTTGTATTATTGTGTATCTATTCTTTTTTTCTATAAATTCTTACTTATAGCACAGAATTGGAGTATTTGTTTACAATAAAGCAGATTAAATTAAAAGTTAAATAAAAGTTAGGTTATAAACTTTACTGTCTGAATATATAGATATAATTGCTTGCATTATTGTATATTTATTCTTTTTTTTTTCTATAAATTCTTACTTATAGCATAGAATCAGAGTACTTGTTTACAATAAAGCAGAATAATATTTAACAGAATTTGAATATATTTGATCTCAATTAATGTTCAAATATGAACACGAGTAAAATTAATTAACAGTTTTCGAGATGGGCAATGTTTACCATAAAAGGCAGAACATGATGCGGCTTCTGAACACATATAGAAAGGTAGGCCGAAAGAATCAGAAAAAGTGAGCAGATTCTTTTCCATAAAAATAATTCTGCGATCTCATTTCGTTGAAAATCACATAACTTTGTCTTAAATTTTGTAAAATATTTCTTGATTTCAAGAACATTATGTTATATGAAACATATAAATAATTAATAAAATTTTTAAAATAAATTATGAATATACAATATACAAATGAATCGAAACAATTGAAATTGAATCGTAATGTATTGAATATTGAATGAAAAATAAAGTTTATAACATATTAATAAGAAATTCAAATAGATAAAAATTGAAATTCAACTGAATTAAATTAAATTAAACAATTGAACTGAATATACATAAATCAAATAAATTCAAAAATAAAAATAGATCAAACTAAATCAAATTAAATCAAGTTAAATACGAAAAGTTAAATATGAAAAGTTATAATGCAAAAGTTAAGTATGCGAATAAAGTATATAAATTCAATGCTGATGTTCTTCGATGAAATTACATTTTTTCTCGACTATTAAAAAATTAAATTTCTATCAAACCATATATTTTACGTTTTCAAAAAAAAATTTTCAAATTTTTAATTTTTCTTTTTTGTGAATTTAAAAAATTAATTATGAAAAAAACTTAAAGAAATATGACTAAAACAAACAATAATTGCATATGGATAAATTTTGATAAAAAAATTCGTGAGAAGAGCGATGCAATGACAAGTGAAACTGCACGACCTGCATTCGGGGATGCATCGAAAGAAGAACAACAAGTTTGCCGAACGAGTTGTGGAGATGGAGTCGGGACAAGAGGAACCAAAGGTCTTCAAGTTTTTGTGAGACATACGAAACTTGCAACGCGGAGCGACATTCTTCTCTTCTAACTCTTTCTGTTCTCGGTTCGATGAACGTAAAGAAATCGACGTTACAGACACTGAACTTTTAGAGGCAGTACTTTTTCAGAACTGAATAAAAGTGTTTATCTTCGACTTCTACCAAGATCAACAATTATTTTGATTTTAGTTAGATAATTTTAATGAATGAATAATTATTATTGAAATAATTTTTAAAATTTTTTCGCCCAGAGAAATTTTAAAAATTTCATTTTATGTTTCATAACGGTAACTTAATACGTTCTTTTAATAATCTTTTAAATTTATATATTTTCTTAACTATATTTCTATTTTTTTGCATTATTTTATTAATTTTCATAAAAATTATTATTATACCATACTCTCCATACTTCTTTTTAAAAAGAAAAAAAGAAATCAGGACATGAAAATATTTAATTTTTATTTTCATATTTTTTTTCTTTCCTTTTATCATCCAATAAACAACATGGAAAGACTATAATCTCCTGAAGTAAAACGTTCAAGACTTCGATAAAAATGCCCAGCCAGATTCCCCACAGATAAGCTGCGCGACTTCCAGTGACTTCTCCCTTTCATCGACTCATACAAAGGAAGATACGAAAAACAAGAACGATAGAAAACCTTCATTTTGACAAATATATCAGAATGCTATCTATCTTATTCCCTTTACTTCTTTCTTTTATTACCAGTTGGCGCCGATCTTCAAATGGGATCGCTTCTTTTTTTAGAATAAATTTCTATAACGAATCACATACCACTTCTTCATCGAAGATAATTTCAAGCTTCCAAGAACCGGCAAAGATAAGCAAAGAGGCGAAATTAAAACTGTTAATGACAAATAAAACTGCGAGTTTGATGATTTCGAAACGATCAAAAATAAACTATATCTGTGAGACGTTATCGTTTCTTTTTTCATCATTTTTTCTTTTTCGTTTTTTTTTTTTTCAGCCAAAGGGAATGAATCGTATTTCATTGGATTTTAGTATGACGGCTGTCTTCAAGAACGAACGCATATTATCTACTATATGTGTACTACCTATTCGAACACGAGGAGACCCATAACCTCATCGTCGTTGTTGATTACATGTTCTGTCAAATGCGTTGACGCGTTGGCTCGTAAGAACCTTAATGATCCTAACGAGTTCCCCTCTTGGTGAATCTTGCAAATGATGTTAATCATAAACCATGAAGTATTTTGGCACCGCGAACAATGGAATAACATGATTTTCATAATATTATATTCATTATATTGTTTTCATGGTATTAATTCATGGTATAAAGTTAATCAAGAAATAGAATATATGTATGATGAGAAATTTAAAGAAAACAATCTTAAGAATAATATAATATAATATATATATCTATGAACAATTAAAATTGTCTCATCTATTTAAATATATTGATTAATCTCAAAAACATTTTTATTATAACTCTAATGAGAATAAATAGCACTTAGCATGAAAATAGTTAACAAAAAGCATCTTCTTCTTTTATGATTTATAAACATATATCAGTTGAGTATTAATTAAAGTGATTTTAATGAAGTAGAAACCGTAGATATATTGATTGAACAGGATATATTGATTGAACAATGAAAATAGAAAGAGAGAATAGAAAGTGAGCTATGCTATCATAATTGTGCATCTTTATGATGATGAGTGTTCATGTAAATGCATTCTCTATACATCACACTCATTGGTTAAAAAGTTTTAACTCAGCTGCTAAATTGGCTACACGATTTTTGATTATATCAAAATCTTCATTGATATAATCTGCCTATATAATCAAGAAAACATATGTTTGATAGCTTATCCTATTGTTGTTAAATTTTTTTTATCTAAAATTTAATTGAAAAATCGCATTGATAAAATAACCAGCAGTAGACTAAGGTGGAAGGAAAGCTTCATGTTCTTTGATTCTATCAAATTTCATGGATATCTTGATTATTCGAAATTTATCGATCTTGAACGAATATTTTTCAATATTTTAGTATTCATTATAATCGATAGAAGCAAAAATATTGATGATAATACATTTCTTTTATGTTTTTATTGACGTCTTGGTATAAAATTTTAAGAATTAAATAAAATAGTGTTGCTTTTATAATGTAATTACTGACTGTTTTACAAATTAAGTTAAATTTTTATATTAAGGAAGCTAATCTTTTTTTAAAATTAAACAAAATCGCATAATGTTCAATATTTATAAAAACTCAAGAAATTTTACAGTATACATTTTACATTTTAAATACAATTTGTTATAAATTTAATCAAATTCTATTAAAGACAATTGTTAAAAATAAATCGCTTTATTCATATTATATATCCTTATTAATGCTATCAATAATATGCTATCGAATAATCTTTTAACTTTTTTACATTGAAAAATGGAATAACTTGCAATAAATATTATCCTCGATCAAACTATTCATATCAAAGATTTTAATATAATTTTAATCGATCGAAAAATCATAAAATGGGGCTTTTTAAGAGAACAACGAGTTCTTAGTGAATCTGCGAACGAACGAACCAACTTAATACAAGGGGAGAGAAAGGGAACTCGGTATGTTAATTACAGACCGACATACATCCCTCTTTCTTTCTTCTCTTCCATCTCTCGCTCGACGTCCGATCGTTTGGCAAGCTGGGGGTGCATACTCTCTCGTTCTTTCTCATCGGTTAGCTTGGTTGCCAGCCGATTCGTCTTGGAACAACCCATCGTTGGTCTCGTTGCACGCAGGCCTCGCGTGAGACCGACGAGTCGACCTTACGACCCGAAGCCGAGAAGAAACCTTCCTTTTGCCCTCTTTCGATCTTCCCTTTGCTCTGCCTTTACAAATCCAGCATACACGGTTTCACGATGTTTCTGCGCCTCGACCGCCTCCTATTTACTACTACCACCACCAGTATACCGATATTCTATCCCACGTGACTGGCTGTCCACCACTGAGAAATCGACCCTCCATTATTTGCACAACACGTTCTACCAATTTGAACGCATTTCGCGCATCATATGCTGTCAATTCTTTGAACGAAGAGAACAAAGAAGATTTTCGAAAAGTAATTGGAAGAGAATTATTGAAAAATTTTAGATAATTCTCAATAATTCGAGATATTGCAAATTAAAAATTCTAATTTCATGAATTATGCATTTTAATGATACATTAAAATTTTGCATCAAATAATGCTAATAATTAATAAAATAGTATATTAGCAAAAAAAAAAGTAATAGTTTTAACGATAATATTAATATGTCATTGAATTTATTTTTTGAATGACATTTGACTAATAACATCCTCGATATCTAAGATGATTCTTAATATTATTTACATAATATTAAGAATATTTTAATTATATTAAGATAATTTTTCGTTTTAATATCTATCTTTCTATTTTTATTATAACAAACCATGCTAGATTTTATCTGTTTTGTTTATAATATTTTATTTTTGCTTTCCAAGTATCACTGATTTAAGAAAATCAAAACATCACATAATTATTATTCGTTTATTAATGTTATAGAAGTATTTATGTATGATTATTGATCAATAATTTCTTTTGTAATCATTTCGTATTGCCGCATAATGATAACTCTGCTCGGATGGTAAAAACGCTCGCAATACCATTTTGACTAAAATTATTCATTTTGCTTTCATCAAATACATTATGAATATCAAACATTTTCTTACTTCTTTATGAGAATAAAAAAAAAACAAAGAAGAAAAAATAATGTATTGAGAAACAAAGGGTAGGATTCGTTTTTGGTACATTTCGTTAAAACATGTCAATTAAAATAATTTTATTTTTTAATCAATTTATCGAACAACTAATATAATAATATCAATTTTCTAATAAATTATTTATATAAAATATATCTGATTACTTACCGCCAAAAATGAGGCACGTATCCAGCTGGACATAAATCTCGACATTGACCACAGGGTGCACCTTGAAGGACGACATTACCGTGCGAGTAAGTGTTGGATTGACCGTCTTGAGGTGACAACATCCTGTAATAAAAAGTAAGATTTATTCGAATTTATTATTTCTTTATAATTATTATATGATGTTTCAGTAATTAATCATTACTTGTAAAATACATGTTGCATGCTAAATATAAAAAATTATATCTAACTTTAATACAATAAATTTTAATTAAAATAAAAATCATTAATATATTTTTTTCAATTGTATACATTTCTTAATTAAAAGATAAAACTAGCTAACAAAATAAATGGAAAAAAATGTCGAATATTTTTAAACTGAATAGTCGATAAAAAGTGATATTTCTTATTATAAAACAATCTAATATTATAATGTTTATATCTAATATCTAAACAATCTAATACTGATGTATATAAATTTAATATTATGATATTATTGAGCACGATTTTAAATTTTCAAGCATTTCTTTCTATTTCGTTTTGCAAAATATAATTCTCATTTTATAAAATATATATAATTTTCGACAAAAATTTGTCATTTCATTCGGTTTTATGCAAATGATGCATTAGTGTCGCTATCTTAAATATAAACTGGACCAAGTCCAGAAGTTGATACCATCCATTATCATAAATTACAATAATTACCGTAAATTAACATTCTACCGTGACCAAACTCACCAACGCGTTATTAAATCAGACAAATGATTCCTTTAATACGGTGAATGATATTAACATATATTCCATATACATACGCAGACTTCGCGTTATTCTATCACGACTAACATTGTTTAAAACAATGATTTTGAACAACATTAATTGTGAATAATTTTTATGAGATACTACATTGATCATTAATCAAATTTAGAAAAATACTCTGTTTCATTTTATCATATTTTTCCCCTAACTGCGCTAAAATTTGTATATATTTTTTAATTTAACATTTCATTATTTTTTGCAACAACAAAGAGTGCCGCAAAAATAATTAATTAAAGGCATTTTCTAATAGAGAGGAACAAGAGTGATTACGAAGTGTTCGAATTAATAATGAAAACCAGTAATTAACGAGTAACCAATGTTTCGAACACTTTGATCGCATGTCGATTAATCGACACCAGGTAATTACACCTTCTAGAAATTTTATTACAACGAAAATCTTTGTATACCACGCGAGAAACGCCGACAGTTTCATCATTCTGTATTCCTTTTTCGTATTTTAAACGCTCTGCTTCTTGTGCTCGACTTTTTTCATCGACATTATAAATATTTCTCCTCAGAGATGCGATCAAAAATAATGGCGCAGCTGTTTGTGCATGGAAATAAAACAGAACCACCGAGAACGATAGTCGATAAGTTATCCCGCCATTTAGCGTAATTGTCAATTATCCTTTTTTTCAATCGCTTGATCACAACCTTGATAAAATGAAATTGAAAATTATAAAAGAAACAGATTATAAAATTAATCAAAAACAAAATTTTTAACGAAAAAAAATATCTATGGATAGAAACGAAAAAGAGAGTCAATTGTATTCAAATCGAAGATCAAAGGTTAATAATAATTGTGCACAGTAAATATATAGAATATAGATGATATCAACTAAGAAAAAGAAAAGATAAAAAATGTAACTAATTATTATACAGTTCCTAACATGTAATTAATTAAACTATGTGAAATTTCATAATCACTTATGGAATTGCAATTGTCGCGTGCCAATATGTATAAAATTTCAAATGATGAAGCACACAAAATACATATCATTTTATTAACTAATATAATTTCACTTTCACGTTCAACGTAGAGAAATTAAACAGAGGATTAAAATCATCAACATTTTAATCATTTCTAACTATTACTAACACATGAATAATCTTATTTGTTAATGTAACCTAACCTAACTATTACTAACACATGAATAATCTTATTTATTAATCTAACCTAACCTAACTATTACTAACACATGAATAATCTTATTTGTTAATCTAACCTAA